CGTTTTGAATGACTCTTAACTCCTCCTCGGGTTTACGGATCTTTTTGCAACTATCCAGGCGATTCGCATGCCATCGTGAAGAGAAATCATGAAGAGAAAGATCGGCTTTTTCTTAACCATGCGAAGTTCCGGGGCCATTTCCTAAGGAGCGTGGAAAGTATGGACATGGAATTCCTCGGGAATCTCAAATGTTCCTCAATTCGCTCTGATTAATTTGTCGTTCGTTTACTTTTGGCTTGCTCTGTTCTAGTTGCAGCTTGTTCTTTCCACATGTGAGTGCAAGTACTAAACAGCGGGAGCGAAGCGAGTGGAAGTAGCCGATTGTGGTCGCTTTGGCCTACGAAGGTGGAAAAGTAACATGACCTTTTCTTATGTCTTAGGTCTATCAGCTTTTCTATCCGCTCCTCACTTCAATCGAATCTGAATATGCGAATAAAACAAAAAATAAGCATAGTTTTAAAGAGCTTTTTTTAACCTGTTTTAATTGGATACATGGCCTCCTCCCTTTTTATAAGTTGCTGTCAAACATTAGTCAACAAAAATAAGCTCAAAAAATGTCGTTTATCGTGGCACAATTACTGCATCTTAAGAAGGTTACAGTATACAGCCAAGGCTTTATCAAATCTTGGAATGCAAAATATTACAATGTTTTGATCACGCATCGCCGCACCAATACACTTTTTCATATGCAGTGATGATATCAGTTGCACTGATAAGCCTTTTAGAAAGCTGCAACTAACAATGCAGTCAATTTAAGTACTCGCGACAAAATTGAAGTCCATGAAAAAGAAGGACAGGTGGTGGGAAGGGCAGAGAACGGTCCAAGAAGAGCACTGTAGCGCTTTCACGACAAAAGAACCCCTATCAAGGAAGGGATCAGGAGCAAAAAAGTGTCTTAAGGGTTCTATGAATACCGTACCTTGAACTTGCTTCAAATGATTCCTTTGCGCAGTGCATACTATCGTGAAGATAACATATGACATACCTAATACAGTATGATTACAACAAGTATGACTAAGACCACTGCCTACGAAGCCNCAGCAGCCGTGGTTATCTCGTTCAAATTAAAAATCAAGGCAAAAGGAGGGTACCGTTTCTCGGGTTTTGATTATTTGCTTGTTTTTTTTTCTCGCAGCGCACCATTTAGCTCATCTCGTATTCACATCTAATGGAACGACGTAATCGGCAGTTTCGTGCCTTTAAAAGGCTGACCACTCATAGTAAACGTTGTGCGTTACGCGCGTGTTGCGTGCGCCTAGCAATGCAACTATCTCTGGGAATGCTACCGTAAAGGGAGCATAGAAGTACAAGAGGTAGAAGAGATGCGAAAACGACATCAGCCTCGAGGCTGGGTCTTTACATAATACAAAGGAAGCCCATCTACACCAAGGTGAGGTGGTCTAGTGGCGCCCGGTAATGAATCAGAATAACCATGAGAAAAAACGCCGAAACCCTAGAAAGGTGCCCTCTTGCCCATTGATTCCGTACTGACGCGGCACTTGAGGACGCTAACCTTTTCCTATTAGGTCGCAACGAAAGTAATGGCGGATTCGACCCTCAATTTCAAAAACTCGTATCTTTCTTTGAATTGAACTTTATTCCTAATAATAATTCCCACAAGCACTTACACCAGTCCGCCATCGGTCGACAAGGAAACAAATGCCTCTCCTTCAAAATTCGGCAGGCTTCGAGTCGAAGAAGTGCCCATGTCCGCTTTCAGCTATTGAAAGTTGTCGTAGTTTTTATCCTTTGAGAAGTGAGCCAGGGAAAGGAGTGGGTGGTAATCCGTAGGCGCAAGACCTGGCGAATATGGAGGATGGGGTAAAACCGCAGATCCAAGTTCCGCCAATGTGTCCTGGGTTACCCTTGCAACATGGGGTCACGCGTTGTCATGAAGAAGAAAAACTTCGTCCATCTCAGGGCGAAGTTTCGCGACTTCAACTGCGAGCCTTCGTGGTTGTGAGCAGTACACCTCGGCGTCGACGATGGTATTGTCTGGCATCTCGTAATGACGTGTTCCCCGAACTCTCCACCAAACTGACAGAGGAACTTTCTTGGGATGAACCTCCTGCTTTGGAACAGGCTCTGGCTTCTGGTTCGCACCCATTCACTGTCTTCTTCTGGTATGACATAGGTAGAGCCCCCACCTTTCATCTCCAGTAATTACATTATCCAACCAGTCGAAACGGCGACTCCTTGCAAGAAAACCTCCGCACACCCCGATACCTCTTTTCTTGCAATGCTCTGTCAGCTCATGAGGGATCAATCGACCAAGTTTCTCAACTTTTTCCAGCATGTGATGAACACGACCTGTGGCCATGTTGAAGCAGTGCATCTCCTTTGCCAGCTCCATGGCGCTTGCATGCGGAAAGTCTTGAAGTAACAGCTCCAAACGTTCGAAATTAACTTTCGTTGGGCGTCCATCTTCGAGGTTGTAGTTTCCTTCGCGGAGCCTTCTGAACCAAAGTTGGCAGGTTTTTTCACTTACCACTCCCCCTACTTCCACAGAGCATATTTTGCGGCAGGCTTCGCTCGCTGTGTGTCCCATACAAAATTCGCAAAGAAGTCAGTGGCGTACATGGGTAGAAACTTATGGCATTTTCCAGGCTCCAAAAGGCCTGCAGGAGGTGAGACTCGGAAATATGAAGGGATGTTACCATTCCTGTATATGGTTAAAAAATTTCCCCTCCAGGTTAATGCGCAGCCGTTTGTCAGGACTTTGAAGAAATGCGCCAGGACTTTCGTTGCGACCTAATATTAACCGGCCTAAAGAATCGGCAAGTGTTGACGTCAATAGGCGGCTCCGCGCCTAGCTGTGCGAGACATGTCTTGCGGTCGCTAGGGTCACTGCTGCTGAGCGATTGCGTGTTGGTTCCCCATTCCTTTACGGGGTATCGGCAAGTTCTTCTTCTTCGATCCACGGACCTTGCTGCGTAATTTGCGAATTTTTGAGCAACAGAACAACGAGCGTCAATCTTTGCAACCAACGCGCAAGTAAGGGTGAGTCATAAATTTAGATCGCCATCGCCACATGATTCGGGCAATAGATGGCACCATGGGCTCGAAGAGGCATGAATCGCACTTCGTGACTTCCTCCTCTACGCTGTCATTGGAAACAGTTGGAGTTGTAAATATAATCCATCCGCGTAAAATCAATTGCATTCAAGACAGGGCATGAGATCCTGCTGGGTGAGTTAGTAGCAGAAAGTGGTGTGATGATGCAGCAGTGGCAAATACAATAAAAGAAAAAAATCACTCAAATAGAGCCCTTTGTTTCCCGAGAACGAGCTGCAGGGGAAACAGTCAAATTCTGAAGATTAATCCTTCTAAAAAAAAGACAAAACCATACGTCGAATTTAGTGAGATTCAAGGCTGGTAGAACATTCCATAAGATGCAACGATAACATACATTTCAGGTGGTGGCAGCCGATCGGTCACTGAGCATCATGCTCATGCGCCTCGAGAATAGTGAAGGTGTTGTCGAGAACGGTACCTACTGTTCGCCATTCCATTTTGCTGGCGTACAGTGCAGTATGGAAGCTAACAAATTTGTGTGGAGATTGGGTGAGAATCAGCTGCTTTCTTCGACAAGTATTCGCACCATTTCTTGAGTACCTTCTTCGCAAAAGCTTCTTGTGATTTTCCGAATGCAGTTTATTCCGTAAATTCTTTTCGAGCAGATTATCAAACCAAGCTGAACTTGAAAGTGCATCGTATAAAGCGCTAAGGCCGATGTCAGACTTTGCGAAATCGAGCGAGTCGCTAGCGTCCGCGGTCGCGTCGCGGTCAGCGATTGGCCGGTATCGTTTTGCGAAGTCTGACACTGTCTTATAAT